GCCCCTTAGAAAAATAGGCATAGCTTGCAATCCATAGCAAATTTGGTCATGGCTCCAAAAGCATTTTGAAAATAGACTCACTCATCTTTCATTTAAAAGTGGTTTGGCCTCAATCAGAGACATAGTGGTCAGTGAACAGTTCTACATAAAAGCATATAACAGTCCTGGAAAATAACAGGAATTTCAGTGTGACAGTCTCGTTGAAAATTGGGCATAACTTCCAATCCACTGAGAATTTGGTCATGGTTTCAAAACCATTTTGAAAATAGACTCACTCATCTTTCATTTAAAAGTGGTTTGGCCCTAATCAGAGACATATTGGTCAGTGAACAGTTCCACATAAAAGCATATAACAGTCTTGGAAAATAGCATGAATTTCAGTGTGGCAGTCTCTTAGAAAATTGGGCATAACTTTCAATCCACAGAGAATTTGGTCATAGTTCCGAAACCATTTTGAAAATAGACTCACTCATCTTTCATTTAAAAGTGGTTTGGCCTCAGTCAGAGACATATTGGTCAGTGAACAATTCCAATTAAAAACATGCAAGGTTCCTGGAAATTTATTTCAAAGTTTTGACATACTTCAAAGAATGACTGATAACTTTCCAACCAAAATAGGCATTAACACAAGGTCTTTTCTATCTTAAAATCGATTCACAGGGGTGCTTTCCCACCAAATTTTATAACCAACAGAGATGCCTTCAAGACTCAAACTATCACACTAATAAGAGTCACAATTCTAGAAAAACAGGGCACAATCTAGCATAATTTCATTAACATTCATCCACCCATATTTACAATTACATTCACATGCATACTTAGATTTCATACTAAGCAATCAAACAAAATCATGGATGCTAGATCTACTTACATGTATCCAAAAGAACTCCAAGTTCCCCACATAGGCTCCCCTCAAATGCTAAGCTTCCAAGGATGGCCAAGACTAAGGTTCTAAGTGTTTGAAAGGGAGTTCGTGAGAGAGAGAGAGCAAAACTCTTGAGACGGGTGTGAAGGGGGTATATATAAGCAAAGAGGGGGAGGCAGCAGGCAGGTGGCATGCAAGGGGCTACAAGTGGCATCCAGGTGGCTTATAGTGGCATACAAGTGGCGTACATGTGCAACATAGTACTCATGGAAGTTCATTCACTCTCGGCAGCAACGCGCACTTGCACACACTGCGGCATCCCTTGCACACACGACGGTATCATTTGCACACACGATGGCTTATACGCACGATGGCATCCCTCGCACACATGGCAGTATCACTTGCACGCACAACGGCTTACACGCACTGCGGCATCCCTTCATAATGCCCGAAAAGTCCGGGTCCTCACAGCATATGTTTGGTTCAAAGAAGAAGAAACCAAGCGAGCATCTTCATGAAAAGTACAAGATTCGATGAGTGAACCAACAACCTTATCTATTAACTCCTTGGAGTTCTTCATCTTGCTGTTCTTCACATCTATCACCCACCAAATCATCAATAGGACCTTATCAAAGATGCGATCACTATCAAAGACAAGACCACTAACTCCATCAGAAGGTTTCTCATCAAGTATTGGATCACCCATGAAATTGTGACTATCATCAAGGGTTTTATAGAAGAAATTCCCTTTTAATTTAAGGAACTTTTTGGTAATAAAAAACCTCTCAATGGTATTTTACTAATCAATGAATTCTCCGGTAACCAATCAATGAATTCTCCGAGTTGATGCTTATCGTTAAAATCGGAAATATCAACCTTGATATCAAAAACCCTAGAGTGATGTCCTCCACATCTAGGCCGTCTTAAAAGTAGTGGCTATGTAGGATTCTCGGGGTGTAAATTCAAAAATTTCGCTTTTTCTTTTATTCACAACCGGGTAATTCTACTCACAATGCCAAACATTACACAACATAAGCAAAAAAAAAAAAAAAAAAATAGATATTATATTATTGTTATCATCGCTTCTACAATTTTTTGATCAATATGCATTTAAGACTACTTGCCTTATAAAAATTCTATTTAATGTAGGTGTGAATCATATTAACCGATCGTAAGGGATGGCGATCATGTTCCCCTCATGTAAGATCTGAATCCATGCTTTGGTGGAATTGCCACCAAGCTGGGAAATCCTAGTAACTAAGGTTACGTATTTGTAAGTTTGGCTATAGGCTGCAGTGCACGTAGTTGCTTGATGCTAATTTGTTTTCCTAAGTTCTTCATTGATGTAATAAATATTCTTTTGTGTTTTATTGAATTTAATGAATGGTTGGGTCATTTATATTAAATTTTCAATTATATTAGAGAATAGAGACAAAAAGTTCTTTGTTACTCTATATCAGTATATATCGTATATATATTAGACACAAATACTAAACTAAAATCTTACTCACATAAATCACATGTTCATGTCATTCTTTATATTTATACAAGTTTATATTCTTATAGTTTTATATTTTGTATCTTTGTTTTAACTTTTTTAACTGCATTGATGCACTACATTGAAGGGCATAATGCATTAGACCTCCATAGTGCGTCGAGTTGGCATCCTGCATTTGATAAATCTTGGACCTCCAGGAACCAAAGAGACATTTTACCCACTCCCTTTGGATCACCCTTTTTGGGTATGGATGTCTCTTAGAGAGACAGAGATGAGCCTCCATGAAAATGAGGCATGACCTCCTAAAGAGAGGTAATTTTCCTATGTGTTTTCAGGTTAGTTTACTAAACATTTATAGAGAGAGCGAAAGATTCTTGGCTATCTTGAGGTTCTCTTCCCTATAGTACTATTGCAGTTGAAAAGAGGGAAGTTGATTGGCGACGTAGTTCGGTCAAGATTGCTGTTAGGAGTTTTTCTGATGACTAAAGAGAGATATATCTCTTGTAATCTAGAGCTGATATCTTTCATTGAGATAATGTGGATTTTAAGTTGCCTAGGCCATGGATGTAACCATTTAATGGTGAGCCATGCATATGCTGTGTTTTTATGGTTTCCTTTTGTTTTGCTTTATTTCTTGCACTCATTTGTGATTCTAATCGCTTGTTTTACATGTAGCTGATAATATGTACCATTTTGGATGATATCCCTATATTTAGCATTCATCTAGCTGATAATATGTACCATTTTGGATGATATCCTTATATTTAGCATTTCTAGTCCTGCAATCGAGGGTTCCCAAGAATCCTAGAATCAATGCCTCACTCGGATCTCTCCCATATGCACGGAGTTGTAGGTAACACCAACCAAGGCAAAGCTAGCCTAATCATTTATTGAAATTAATTTGCTAATTTGCATTATTAGCAGATAACTAAATACACAGTATTTCACAATTATTTCTCTTTCAATAAGCTTCTTCCCGTTTGAAAATACTCCTTATCAAAAGCTCTTCAAAGCTACAAAGGGATTTAAATACAACAATACCTTTAGCTGCCCATAAGCGACAGATTTATTTGGAAATACATATTCCTTCGTTCTAAAAGGAATATCACAAAATTAGAGGGAAAAACTAGTAAAATATTGAAAGAGAAGAAGCAAAGTAGAAAGTACTGAGAGAATTGTATGGCTCATCAGAAAGAGCATCTATAGCCAATAGGATTAATTTCACTAAATAATAAATGAGGGGAACATGAGTGACTAATCATGTCCATTCATTTAGGTGACTAATTCGATTTGGAAGACATGTCACTTTCTCTTTATAGTTTCACCTAGCACCAAAGGCAAATCTAAAAAGAAGCAATCTCTCTCTCTCTCTCACTCACTCACTTTAATGGTTAGAAATAACTGCCTAAGCCTTAAAAATTCCAACAGTCATGACTCACACATGTAGCACTATGCAAATCTGTGAGTTGTAAAACTTTATATGGGATTTATCAAAGCACACATGAAATACCAACTATTTAACTTTTCACCCATTTATCAAAATATACCAAAATATCAATTATAACTCATGATTGTGTGTTCTTTGATGGGATTTTGAAAGGAAAAGCATACCATAAGATCCTTTACTTTTGGTACAAGGTCACAATCACCTTTGGCCGTTGAATGTGAAATTCCGCGGTTTGGGGTCAACCGTGCTTAAAATCCAAATGAAAGTTTTTTGAAGTTTGTGAGCCTCAACAAGGTACTTGATTCAATTGACAGATAGGGGTGATTGGGACCTCCTTATACTTGAGATAAATAATCTTATAGTATGCATTCCCTTTTTGAAATTAAACCAAAAATGGATGAGATGTTAAATAGTTCATCTCTTAAGTGCCATAGATAATTTTTCTGACCATTTAAAATATTGGACTGGTTCAAGGGACTATGTCTTTTACCAAATTCAACTGCGTCCAAATTCTTCTATGAAATACCAGATAGGTCCATACTTGACAGTTGTCTTCTCTAATGATTCTTGCATTGTTTGGTATTGGTATTGGCTTGTGAGTGGATTAGTGGCAGCAATTGTGTGCTGTAAAGAAGAGAAAAAGAGGTCCGGCTTCCTTTTCAAACAGAATAGTTTGCATTACTGTGCGAATGAGTTTTCTATCCCAAAACTACCTACCGTTGACCATCAAAGTCGTCTCAGGCATTGTGCATCCAAATCCCTTCTGGAGGGTTTTGGAAATAGCCTTATTCAAAATAATTCTAAAATTTCAAACATTATGTAATTGTTTCAAATAGACTGTCTGATTCCAAGCTACTTTTGCAAATAATATATATAATTATTTCTAATTATTTGAGTAAACCAACTTATACTTCTATATATTACATGTATGCTTTTATACATTCATGCATATACATGTGAGAGAGAGATGTCTCTATATGTTCATGCATATACACGAGAGAGAGAGAGAGAGAGAGAGAGATGATTTGCTTTTTTTCCACTCTGCTTTTATTAACTCTATTTGCATTAACTCTTAGCTGATCAGCACTATGAATATATTCGACCGTTTTATTTTGTGGCCCTCATGGAAGTGCCCTTCTTTGTTTGCACCGGTTTAATAGTTTTATTCCTCTCATTTTCTTAATCTGCAGGTGCAGTCCTTGGTTAAAGAGATTTGTGAGACAACCTCCATTGCAGAATTCGAACTCAAAGTAAATAGCCATTTTTCCCATTTCATCTTTACATATTTTTCTATCCATTTAAAATTCACTGATATGCAGATTTTTTATTTTAAATTTTTCTAATTTTTTTTTTGGGAGCTCTAAACTGTGTGCTGATAAGTTCTTTTCGTATGACCAGCTTGACGGCTTTCGATTATACGTGGCAAGAGATATCAATGGAAAGGACATGCCTCCACCCACTTCTCCAAGCTCTCCTATTCACACTACTACTAATGTTGCTGAGGAAACCCTTGATTCAAATGGGTCTGCTAGCCCTCCTCCGACCATTTCTAAACCTGAACCTCCTCTAACTAGGATTCAGAGACTTTTAGAGGCAGCTGCTGATGAGGGCTTGGTGATAATTAACTCCCCAAAGGTGGGTTCCATGCAAAGTTGAAGGAAAACGGTGTTTTGGATACTGGCATATGTTATGCAGGTTACCCAGACTAAGCAAGTGCCAATCTCGTTTTTACCATATTCTCCCTACTCTGGTACTTGGAACAGTGGACAAAATGTTTCCCGAAAATATGAGTTTTAGACAAAACATAGTGCAAAGCTTTGAACATTGGCTTGGGTAGGGTAAAATGGTAAGATGTTGGCCATTCTCAAGCCTTTTTTCTGCCTAAATGTTTCCTAAAAGAAAATATGTCCATTTTTTCAAAAACATATTAAAGAGGGAAGAATGGTTCATGAAGAGCGTAACAGTTTCATTATTTTATGGAGACTGGTTTCTGATGCCAAAGTATACTTTACAATGCAGGTCGGTTATTTTAGAAGAGCTCGTACTGTAAAAGGAAAACGTGGTCCTGCAGCATGCAAAGAGGTTTGGACTGAGAATATATCATTGATTTCTTCAGACAATTTCATTAGAAAAGATCTCTCTCAAAGAAAAAGGAAATTGCTCGAGAATTGTTCTAGATATTTGTCCTTTTTCCCTTGATGGAAGTTACCTATCATTTTATGAATTTCTAACTTACAGTGGAGAAACTGGATTTTCTTCAGGGAAAATATCTCCTTATCCCTATTTTTAACTTTCATATTTCATGAGATCCAAGAATTGAAAAAATTGCTTGTAAGCAAAAGGTCTCTATCTTTTCTATCTAACAACCCCTTGGACCCCTTTGATCATAAATTTTTGACCCAAACAAACAATAAAATGACACCCTATTCAAACTCCATCTCTCTCTCTCTAAAACTTCATCTCTCTCTTTTCACTTCTCGGTGAGTTTACCAGCCAAGGGGTTTAGCTTGAGCTCGAACACGAGCACACCTTATGTGTGTGAGAGAGATGGAGTTTTAGAGAGAGAGAGATGGAGTTTGGGTTTTAGAGAGAGATGGAGTTTTAGAGAGAGAAAGAGATGGAGTTTTGAGAGAAAGAGGATGATGTGTGAGAGAGAGGATGATGTGAGAGAGAGATGAAGTTTGGGTTTTAGAGAGAGATGGAGTTTTGAGAGACAATGATGCGAGAGAGAGAGAGATGGAGTTTTAGAGAGAGAAAGAGAGATAAAGTCATTTAATAAGTTGTTGAGGTCAATAATACATGGTCAAAAGGGTTTAGGGGGTTGGAAGATAGAAAAGATTGAGCCCTTTTGCTTACGAGTAATATTTTCAATTCTTGAGTCTGATGAGATATAGAAGTTAAAAATAGGGAATAATAGGATATTTTCCCTTTTTTTTATTGGGAACAGGATATCTAGAATGGGTATATGCTATTATGATGGGAACAAATTGCAATGTTTTTTGTATTAGGGCAAGATCCAAGATGTCCATTTCTCCTTTATTAAATTCATTAGATAGGAAGTATTTCCTCAACCTTCACGATGAAGGTCGTGCTTCTTGAATCCTAACCTAGAGAATATGTAAAACACTATCAGTTTACAAAGATTCTATAGATACATACACCTTTTGTGTTATTTCGTACTGAACCCATAACCAGTTTGTCCTAAACTTAAACTCTGCCTGCAATTCTTTTTAAAATGCAATAACCAGCGACTATTACTTCCCCCCCGAATCATTCTTCTGAGTAGTTCTCAAGTAAGGTATCCAAGTTTATGTTCTTTTCCATATGAAAAGAAAGTCTCCATAGATATATTGTCTTGGATTATTTGTTACAGAAACAAATTGTAAAGGAAGGACAGGTGATTTGCTATGTGGAGCAACTGGGTGGCGAGGTTCCAGTTGAGGTACTTGTGTTCCCATTATTCCATGCTCTAATTCTTCTTTCAGTTTTTCCTTCTAAATTTTAGAATGATACTTATTCCAGCTTGTATTTCTCATTTCAGTCTGATGTGGCAGGGGAGGTCATAAAAATACTGAGAGAAGATGGTGGTATACACCTTGAACCTATCCCAGTCCCTCTACTTAACAAGCACAATGCATCGATCGTCTAATAATATATAGAAATTGAAAATTCACGAAAAAATTCCATTACATTTTTGGAATTAAAAACTAGCCCCTCATATTTTTTATGCTCAAGCCCCATTTTTTTTTTAGTTCGGATGTACAATGTTCGAACTGCGGTCTTTTTTTCTTGTTAGAGTGAGGCTGGTTCAAACATTGCATGTCCAAACCAGTTTTTCGTAACTAGGCTGATTCAAGCTCCCACATTTAAAAAAGATGAATTTAGTGGAGGACCGGTTCGGACATTGAATGTTACATCTGATATTTCAATCAACATAAAAAGACTTCAGTCTAGGCATTGGATGTCCGAATTGGAGTTAAATGGGAAAAAGACAAAAAAGTGGCACTTGATCATAAAACTATAAAATATGCGGGGACTATTTTTAAATATTAGATGGGACTCTTTTTGTGAATTTCTATAGAATTTGATATGGATCACAAAGGAAAGTATATCAAACACGGTCATGTTACATAATGCAACACGGGCATTTCTTTAGAATTTGATATTGATCACTAAGGAAAGTATATCAAACACCAGTGGTCATGTAATATGATGCAACACGGGCACCCAACATTTACTGTTGATGATGGATGGTGGATATTAACTATACTTGGGGAAGTGCCCATCATGAAGACCTGCAGTTAATATCTACCATCCATTATCTCTCAAAAGTAAAGCGCATTACTCAACCTTTTAACTGTGATTCGTTTTGGTGCTTTACAGAACCAGTAGGCTATGGTGACCCACTTATTGCTATTCTTCCTTCGTTTCCTGGGATAAAAAAGCTCCAGTAGTTACTTTGGCCCTGAAGTTTGGATGCCCCATATATGCCACTTTTGGCATGTCTTTTGGCTACCATTTATTTATTGAGTGTTCCTATACTTTTCATGTAATAGATGATAATCTTGGATCCTAGAAATGCATAGATCATTTATTTGCCCAAATTGAGCTAAGGGTTTGTTCCTTGTTTCTGGTCCAGGGCCAAGTCTTTAGTTTAACTTGAGGGCTTTTCAAATCTTTGATCCCTAAGGTTCATCATAAAAAATAAACCAAGCTAACCCACAGTTTTTTCACAACCCACGTCTTGTCTTATAGTTGCTACGCATTCAAACCCTTTGGAAGCATCTCCACAAGAGAACAATCTGATCATGAGAAACCTTTTGTCTGTTTTTGTTTTTTAGGTAGTTCAATGGGGAAAGGGTCCCCTAAAAAAGGTAGGTCTGCTTTGTTTGGTTTTTTGGGACAAAAGTTCAAGGATTTGAATCCTTGACCTCCCTCACCCAGATTGACGTGTCTACCACTAAGCCAAGCTTAAGGGAACTCATCAAAGATTGAATGTGCTTAGACATCCGTCAAATATCTGTGACCTTAAATGTGTGTTGTTGTGAATATTCACGAATACATGGTAGGAGACTCCAAATTATTGGGATAAAGCTTGGATGATGATAATGATATTTTATTTTTATTTTTGAAACATTATGTATTCTTCATTAATAAAAATTATAGTACAACCATACATGTTGGTTACAGGAGCCTTAAGAAGTTTCGAAAGTTAGTTATGAAGTCTCAAAAGGCTTGCACTTTGCTTGGCTAATCCTAATAAGGAGGGGCAAATATGACGTCTATTTTTGAGCAAATATCTGGGATTGCAAATATCTGGGATTTCATACCATAAAGGTCTCAGGGACATGTTTGCTCTTTTTTACACTTGAAACTGCATTTAAAGAAGGGTGGGGTTTCTATAAGGTTGCAACCTTAAACAATCCAAATTAAGGCGCACTTTCAAATTTTATCATAACATATAATTTTGGTGTCAAAGTTTTTTTAGGAGTCAAAGTTTTTTTAGGATTATCTGAATTTCTATTTTCACATCTAATTAATAAATTTTAAACTTCAAAAATGGTTAAAACCAAGTAGATTTATAAATATATGAAAATTTTGAAAATAGACAACCAAAAAAATGTATTACAAGATGCATTATTTTTGGGACTCAAAATCTTTTTGTTTTTTTCTCATTCTTACATCTCGATGTCGAGATGATCAATTAGAAGGTTTTTGAACATTAAAACAACCTTTTCACATGGATTTTTACGGTGCATCTTGAATTCTGCATTTATATAAACTTATTTCTTTGAAGAATCACCCTCATCAATGAGGTTTGTACCATGTTGGTTTGCTTCTATCAGCATCAATCATTGCAATATAGCATTAATTTTTCCCTTTTTTTTTTTTTTCTGGCAATACCACTTGGACCGGAGTTTGTAAAGTAATAAGTAGTCCTCTAGCTAGTCATTGAACTTCTATTAAAATTCAATTTCAAGGATTCTCACTACCATATTTTATATATATATGTTCATAATTCAAATAATGTGAAATTTTAAGCGTGTATTCTTTTCATCAAGGTGCATCTAATAAAAATATTTTAAAAATAATTTGCGAAAAATAAATTGACCAAAATACATCGAAATGTTTTAAGGGTATTTTGGTCAATTTATTTTTTCAAAATTTTTTTTATATATTTTTATTAGATTCTACTATTTTTGAAGAATACACATCTAAAATTTCAAATTATTTAGATTCATAGATGAAAAATTAAAATTCAAAAATAAAATGACATCATGACCATCAGATCAGACCAAATTGAATTTGGGTCATTTGGCTCATATGAACTCATATGTTCATATGACTTAGTGGGCTAATCTAAACATTT